TAAAGGGGATATGCCTGACCCAATCTTCACCATCGAGGAGGGCATACCCCCCTAAGGGGGGTGTTCAGGGACAGTGATCCACTGAAATGGACCACAGCCCTTGACCTATATAGGTCCCTTACACGGCATGCAGTGCCAAGTAGAGCGCCCCATGCAACATTAAAAGCCGCCCCCTTCCGGTGGAGTCTGGGTATAGTTCTGCTGAGAAGGAAACTGATCTGGATAGCTGCTGTTAGGTGCCACAGTGGCTGTGAGCAGCTTAGGGAAACTTGCTATAGTCTTGAGCAGAAAAAGAGAAAAGAATGTGCTTGTGTCAGAGCAGAAAGCAGAGTTATACAGGGCTGTTTGAGGAAATTAGTTTGAAGGCTTGTCTCAGTATCTACAAAACAGATGTGACTGTTACCACAAGATTGAAAGCACACCATTAAGGTTACAATCTGACTGTACACTATATAGTTCTATGTACAATTAATGGAGATGGTACTTTCAGTTTGAAACACATGTGGTGAACTTAAAATGTAAACTATAAAATATACAGTAAGTGACTTGAAGATTATTTTTTGGAAGAGTGGAGTTTACCTTAAATTAAATTGGGTCAAACTTAGAGTGCCCAGTCTTTCATATATTTTGACATACAGACATATAGCCACATCTAAATGATCTAGTCAGTAGATACCTTTACCAAAGACCCAGATTGCTATAAATGGCAAAAGAAAAGTCAGACAATAACCTCATACATGGGCAGATTTGATTAAACTATTACCAGACTTTCAATCACACCTGTTTGATATTGGAAAAGATAAAAAAAAAGTAGGGCTGTTACTGATTAAAATTTTCATGTTCGATTAATCAAATTTTTAAAAAATAGATTAATCAATTAATTTCGATTAATTATAACGCACATACAGATCCAACTACATTGGCCTGTACACATACAGCCCAGCAATGAAGTAATAAAATGAACTAGGATCACACTAATCCAGCACGTTATTAATCCACGTGCCAATATGGCCGCCGCTTGAGTGAGGCAACTCAGAATAAAAACGTGCTGGATTAGTGTGATCCTAGTTCATTTTATTACTTCATTGCTGTGCTGTATGTGTATAGGCCAATGCCTTGGAGTTTGGTCCACACTTGTGGGCACACTGACCAGCTGGGAAGATTGTAGAAGAAAGGTATGATGTCAATTGGCAGGCTGCACAGTGATGTTCCCTTTACATGTAAGTATAACCTATTTAAAAATTGATAGGGCAGAACAAGTTCCTTGGGCAAACTCACCGGCCCAAGTGGCTCCGTCGTCTAACGAAGGGCAGGGGGAGGAGTTCAGTGACGTCACGAACATCGACGTCACCGGACTCCTCCCCCTTCCCTTTCGTTAGCCAACTGAGCCACTTGGGGACATCGACGTCACCGGACTCCTCCCCCTTCCCTTTGTTAGCCGACGGAGCCACTTGGGGAAGGGGGGAGAAGTCCAGTGACGTCAATGTCTGTGACGTCACCAGATCTCCGACGGGACTCCCGGAAGCCGGCGGAGAGGTGAGTATTTTCATTAGCGATCAAAAAAATTTTAATCGATCAAAAAGATTAACGATTACTGGTAATCGAGAAATGAATCATTAATTTCCACCGCCCTACAAAAAAGAGACAGAAAGGCCATGCACGGGACCATAAATGCAGATTACCCACATATATGTTTTAAAATGAGCTTTGTTGGCTGTTAGATGGTCTGTGTATGGGCAGCTTCAATTCCACTGCTAGCTATCGTCAGCACTAGGTATGCAGCGTTACATTTGTAATGTAATTTCACGCTAAATAAAATGATGGTGCTCTACTGTGTGACTTTAGACTAGCAAGAATTTATCAGCTTTTCTCGTTACAACAGGAATCCCTTTTGGGTGAAAACTATTGATTTGAAGGTTAAATAAATTCATCTCACTAGGCTCAAGTGTAATTTAAAGTAAGTTGGCCTTGGGAAGGTTTCTGACATTTTTAACATGCGTTCTTCACTGGTGTTTTTTATCAAGAAAATAACATATGAACTCCTGGGATTTTTTTTATAACTGTAGATCATTATTAATTATAGGATTTCTTAATAGGTTATGCCATGTCAGTTCCTCATGGCATGGTTAAGTGACGTTTAAATTAGCACACTACAGGCTGCATGGTGAAATTGATTACCTATGCAGTGAATGGGGTATATTTAGTCATTTGCATTTTTACATAGGCTGAGGCTGTAATAACCTCCAGGAACATGCATCAAATCAGCCCATTTTTTTTTCTGACAGTGAAGGTAAAATACAAGTTCATGTTCAGAATTGCCTGGGAAACCTATACAACCTGACTGACGAAACACTGACATTATGTTGTGTAGGGGAAACATGTAAAAAGAAAACAAATCTCAGTGATTATTATTAACATGGAAGTTAAGGACATTCTGAGACACAAAGGTTTTTTTTTTTCAAGAGACGCATATAAAATGTAGGGGAAAGGAAAGTCCACTGATTGCAGGCAACATAAGTCCCCTCAGTGGCCCTACTGCTTCTCACCCCTGATTATTGCCTTAGAACACTGCTTGGACTCTTCTTAAATTCCCTCCTTTGTCTGGTTAGGTGCCTAATGGGTGAACAAGCTTAAAGCACCATGGCAGCCTCACTCCACAGACGCAAGCAACTTGCAGAGTGGAGCACGATGTCGCCAGAAGAATGTGCCAGAGGAAGGGTGACTCTGTGAGACTGGAAATATTGGGCAAGATAGGGACACTCATGTACCATTAGGGTCAGTGTTGCCTCATCCAGATTACAGAGGTATATCATCTTTGTGAGTAAAGAGTGAACAAACTGGTCAAAAAGTGACATGGACAGAGTGAACAGAAGATAGATACAGTGGGGAGAAGTGGCGCGGACAGAGTGGACAAAAAATGGAAAAAGTGGCCATACCTGGCATGGAAACAGTGGGCAAGAAGTTAAAAAAGTGGACACATGGTACACTATATTGCCAAATGTTTTGGGACACCTGACCATCACACCTCAGTGAAATTGTTTGATATTCCATTTCAAAGCCATGGGCATAAATCATTCCACAAGAATTTGGAGTGGGAATTTATGGCTATTTAGCCAAAAGAACATTTGTGAGGTCAGGTATTGATGTTGAACAAGACAACCTGCTTTGCAATTACCATTCCAAATTATCCCAAATTTTGGGGTCAGGGCTCTATACAGGCCTTCACACTATACTCATCAAACCGTGTCTTTATGGATCTGGCTTTGTGCACAAGGGTACAGTTATGCAGTAACAGAAATGGGCCTTCCACAAACTGTTGGCACATGATTGGAAACACACAATTGTTTCAAATGTCTCTGCATGTTGTAGCATTAACAGTACACTTTACTGGAAACACTGAACTCAGTTATTTGAAGGGATGCCCACGTCAGAAACCTTCCCAAGGTCAACTTGTGGAGATATAGTTGTAGAGGTGATGGTCAGGTGTCCACAAACCTTTGGCCATATAGTGTGGAAAAATGGGCTGAAGTGGTGTGCATACGGCAGGCATAAAATGGACATAGGGTTGACAAAGTGGAAACATAGACAGCAGTGGTATGAACACAATTTTTTTTCCAGGTCCTTTGGAATTAACCAGTTAGGTAGGTAGTTGTAACCTACAGAAATCCTGCATCCCACAGTAAGGTATTACAACCATTCAGTGTCACAGGCCTATTACAATATATAGATATGGATGACTTTTTAACAAACACAGGACAACTTTTACCATAAGGGCCATGTCAGACCAGTGATTCTGTTGCTGGTAGCAACTCACCAGATACAGGGTTGTTGAAGAGTACACTCAGCTGCTCCTGGAGTGTAGGTCCTTTGCTGACTCAAACCCTGCAGTTCCTCTGTCATCAGCTCAGGAGCATTAATAGAGTGACACTTTGCTCCAACAGCAGGAGAGTGACACATTAGGAGCAGGTAAGTGTTCTCTCTGCTCTACTCAGCAATCCTCTTGCTTGTAAGTTGCCTCCAGCAACAGAATCCCTAATGCAACTTGAGCCTTAGGCACCTGTGAGTCAGACCCTAATACTGTAACTAAGAGTTAGTGGCAAGAAAACACTTTTTACCAGTTATGTTTAGTTTGGACACATATCCAGCAGCAAAACTGTAAGCGTGTGTGCAGGTGGAGGGTTATGGGGGATAAGGAGCAGAGGTCACTTGAGGAATTACAGGACTCCCTGACAAAAAATAAAAAAAATCGAAAATGACTCCACTGAGCAATGTTTCCATATCATCTGTCTACACAGCAAAATTCCAGTGCAACTAAAAACATATACCCTTTCTATGAATAATACAGTAACGCTATTGATACGAAAGTAATGTACTAAATCCAGTTCATAACTTCTTACTTAGAAGTTCATAACTTATTCACTAGTCAGATTTAGTCTTCTAAGGGACGTGCTTGGGAGGAACAGCTCCACTATTCTTTGTATGGCACTTGACACATCTGGCTTTGCACTATACTACAAGGCAGGCATTAATTGGCATAATAATTATTATTTTTAGCTGAAATAGCAATCTTCCACTCTGCTATAGTTGGATGTTTGATAGAGTTTACTTTTACGATAAGATATAAACAGCAAAATATGGGATGCTTCAAAATTCAATAATATTAAAATGAATCTGTTAAATTGATACATATTAAACACTTAGTTAAAAGTAACTTAAAATGAACATACAAAGTTCTACACAGCCTAAAGTAACATTGGAATGTACAAATTATCATTATACTACCAACGCTATATATTTTTTTTTACATTTCTCTTTATTCAAAGTAAAACTGTTATATGTGAAGTCAGGGATCGCCAGGTGGTTTTTGAAGCTTATCTCTGCTAATTCTTTTTTTCCTTAGAAATGAACCAATAACCCCCCGCATTTATAACGTTGCAGCGGTACAGAAAAAGTATTGATTCAAAAAAAAAAGAAGCTTTTTAAATAGCATTAATTCTTACCAACTCCAGCGTTTATTGATTCTGCATCTATTTCTTTAGCCTTTTTCTCTGCCACTTTAGCTAGCGCCAATTCACCCTTATCTAGTGCAAGGTAATGGATGTCCTTTGGAAATAAAGCAAAATAAAAGATTAATCTAAAATGAATCTTGGACACACAACAAAGAAGAATTTCAAAGAAAGGGAATCTTTTATTGCCCAGATCACAGAACATAGACAGGACTGATGAACCCACTGTTACGTTTTAATTTACTCAATTTTCATTCTTCCTCCATGCAAATGTATCATCTTACGAGCACCTTATCTCAAGCCAGGCAATCAAACACATTTCAGGAAGTAAAAAGCATATATTTTACTCGCCAGCTTATGCGGAAATTTCTGACCAACCTATGCCTTTGAAAAGTCAACTGCTGAAAACGGTAATTTTTGACAAAGGGACCTTTGAATATACATATATCCAAAATATGCCGTTTCAGTGACTTTTAACTGTGCACCTATAATGGCTTCACTACAGAGCAGGCACATTAATCATTGATGTCATTCTGTTTTAACAACTTTGTATTATTTCATTGAAATATGCAAAAGTTGTAATTGAGAGGTAGCAATTTTAAGTCCTTATCCATATCAAATGGGGCATATTTTGTAGGACTAACTTAATAAAAAAGTTGCAAATCCGAGTTAGGACACTTGTCTTTTCAAAAACAGGCATTCAAAAATAATCTATTTTACTGTAGAGTCATCACTGAACCTTAAATGATTTAGTGGTGTAAATGACAGGAAAACCCTTCTTATGCCAGTTTGGAAGCATTCGCGCAGTGTTAGTGGCGACTTAGGGTTGCATAAAAAATTTGCAATCTTTTAATAAATTCAGCGGTTGGTGTAGAAATTCATGTGAGATCATGGCTACATGGTCATTAAGTGTTTAACACTTTTGCATTCAGATTCTAAGTTTAATTTCTACCTAGGGTATTATGTGTAAGGAGTTGGTATGGGTTTCCCCTAGGTGCTTCAGTTTCCTCCCACAAATAAAAACAGATTCTTGCTACAGGCCAGAGGCTGGAAGAATCCAGTGAGCCACTGCACTTTTAATGGATTCACATGAGGCTCACTGAACTACATGGCCCATGTGTCTTTGGGACTCCAGTGACTTTGATGCACGGTTCCATAGGCAGTGACAGTGGTGTTCTTTGTTCTTTTGTCACTGCCCACATTGTAATAAATCAGAGCCGCTTTTGCAGACTTTGATGTGTGTTGTTGGTCTCCAATATCGCGATATTGCATATTATTTGAGCCCACTGGTTAATGGTGAAAGCAGGTGATTTGCATCTGCATTCCAAATTTATTTCCACGACATGCACCTACAATGGAAACTGGTTACTGGGGGTTTAAAGCACATACTGGAGGGACTGGTCACTGTATGTTTAATTCTGATAGACTGGAGACTAATCCCTGACGGTCAATGCAGACTGAGGGTCAATGCAATGTGGAGACTGCTCACTGAAGGGTTACTGCTCACTGAAGGGTTAATGCAAATGCTGTAAAGTATGATGACTGAGGAGTTAAAGCACAATTGGCACTAATGTGCAAACTGACTAATGAGCTTTGTGTACATGAGGGGCCATCTATCTGCTGCCAGAAAGACCAATGTGTGTGCAGGGGTGGAATACCACTAGTACAACATGCCCTGCTTAGCTAAATTAAATACTAGAGAAACTAAACTAAAGAAACTAAAAGTGACAATCCGGCTTTATGCTATTTCTAATATATTATAAAAAGACACAGATATTGCAGTAGGGTGTTCATTACATGAGCTGCAGCAGTAGACATGACACAGCTATGTTACTGGGGTGTTTACCTTGGGAATGGGTTGGATATAGTTGCACCAGTTAAGTGTTCACATTACAGCATATAACAATCAGCATCTATTTCACAACTGTTTACAATACTAGTTGCTACAGCAATAGATTGGATACGAACAAACATTGTACAAGAACTATATTGAGCAGCAATACTTATGAGTCATTCTACTCTCTTGCTGCTGGTAAGGCCACTTCTCTGCTTTTTGCTGGCCATTAAATTTACAGATGGTGCGACCAAGCATAACTAAAGCAGAGAGCTTCACCAGGTTGTTAAAAACGATTCTATTTATCAAAAAATTAGAATTAACTACTACAGATGATACTGATTTCCCTGTCTGCGTGCATAACCTATGAATGGTTTGAAGTTCAAAGAGAACCTTCACTGCATATGCTGCATCACACATATATATTGTACACACACATATTACAGGAATGAAATGATGACACCATTAAAGTGTGAGTAAATGTACAACAGTTCATTATGAAGTGAAGATTATAAGACAATCAGGAAGTCTGGCCACAAGACTGGTGCTGTTTAATGAATGCCAGGCATGCCAAGGTGATGACCATCTGCATAAGCTGCATGTTAAAGGAAGGAATTAAAGGCTATTAGCACTGAGTGACATGAGACACACCTTGTAACTGATAAATGTCACAGTGATTTATTACAAAAAATATATAAACAGAATAGTATTACATATCTTTGAACAACACCAGGACAAATAACTGTAGAAGTCTGTATCTTCTTACGGTATGTACAGTATGTTGTCAGCTGACAGATTTGCGAAAGACTCAGTACTAAGTAACAGAAAAACTGCATATTATAATATACTGTATAAAACTAATTCATTTAGATAAACCTTAACCTAAGATTGAGCTTTTGTCTTTTGCCATTCATCCCCTGAAACCCTATTCTGCTACAAATCTATAAATCAAAATATTTCCTCTATTTTCCTATAAAAACTTTTAAATCGGCCTTCAGATTCTAACTATCCACTAACATATAATAAATAACAACATCATTTCTCATTATACGGGAAAAAGTCAGTTTTTATAGTCATTCAGGATCTTAATGCAAGCCTCTCAAAAAGTAATCACTGTAATCTTGTAATATGAATATCTTACAAATCAAATGAAAAAAACATTTGTAAAATGAAAAAAAAAAAAAAACACGGTATAATTACATTTTAAATGCCTGGACACTTACTAACTGAAAATAAGTGTCTTATGGCCTCCCAAAACATCCTTAGTTGTCTTTATTTACATTATTAATACTTATAATTAAATGTTTCTGTGTCTATTTAAAAAACATTTTTAAAAACACATTAGACATTGGCATATAATAGACACTTTCAGTAAACATTTTGCAAAATCATCTATCACCAATAACGAATAATTGCAAAAAAACAAGCAAGGCATTTGAACAATGTGTAACAAGCAGACCCATGTATTAAAGGTACTGGGGGGAATTTATCAAAACTGGAGCAGACAAAATCTGGAGCAGTTGCACAACCAATTAGCTTTTCTCTATAGTTTGTTCAGTTAGGATTTGAAAATGAAAGAGAGAAACCGATTGGTTGCCATGCACAGCTGCTCCAGATTTTGTCTGCTCCCGTTTTGACAAACCCCCCTTAATGTATATTTTTTTTTATTATTAATCAGTTGTTTTGTTTAGTCAAGTAAATGTTAAATATTACATATTTATCCCTTGCAGCTAGAAGATTGCAAGCTCCAAATAAGAGGACAAGCTTTGTCCAGCTTGTTCTATAGCTGTGGTGTGCAAAAGACCTGAGTAGCAGGGAGGTCAGATTGCATAGTCTTTAGAGTGAGTCACATATTAGAGTAACAATATATACCCCCGTTTCCCCGAAAATAAGACCTACCCCGAACGTAAAACCTAGCACTATTTTTCAAGATTCCTGTAATATAAGACCTACCACGAAAATAAGACCTAGTTTGGTGGTAGCATGTGAGGGGGAACTTGCAGGAGAGATGGTATCAGCCTGCAGGGACATACTGTATTAAGGGGATGACAGGGGACTCCCTCCAGAGAGCACAGTGACAGGGAGCACTCCAGTACCATACTTCACAAACTGCTGTCCCCCTGAAGGCACTGCTTAATGTAATGGTACTGCACTGTAATGTGTACCGGTAAATGGTACCGTACTTTACCGCACTGTCCACTGTCTGATGTCCCCACTGCTGCACCGCTGGTAAAGTCAGCCGGTGCTGTAGAAAGCAAGGCTGCGGCGGCGGAGGGAGCAGAGCCGCATTAGCCGATACTTCCTCTATAGCGCCAGTTACTGTGACAGGCGGAGTGATACCAGTCACTGGATGAACTCTGTATTTATTGTTTATTTGTGAAATAAAGACACAGAATACTGTGTTGTATTTTAATGAATATAAGTGAAAAGGTCTGAATTATATAATGATAAACAACATGGCTGCTAAACAATACAAGACCCTTGAGTTTATGTGACGGTCTGTCATCATGTATCTCCAATCCTGGCTGCTATTGCAAATCTGCACTGATGCTCTGTGTTACCTTCATGTGTCTTGCCAGCAAGCCTGCTGTGAGGATGTGTGTTGCAATTGAGTATTTGAAGAGATCAGTGCTTACTCCATTCACTTAATCATGCTATAAGTGACAGAGCCCATGAGCACTACAGACATGATATTGAGGCATTTCAGTTACACTTCTATATAGCAATTTTATTTCCGTTGCACTAACAAATCTGTGCACCCAAAAGTGATACCCTGTGTAGTATAAAACAGTAAGGCACTACCTCCGAGTGACAGACTATGTAATATTATAGAAGTACTATAACAGACATCTTTGATGCTTACATAAGCTTATTGGTGTTTGTTGCTGCTCAGATGACGTTTCATGCGTTAAGAGTTTTTTTCGAACTACAAGCTTTTAGCTACAATCGACAGAACGCTTATGTGTGAACAGGGGCCATTAAAAGCAATGGGATTCCTCCTGTTAAATGTCGTGGCGCTTAAGTATTCAAGCTGCAAAGCACAGGTGTGAATAGGGCCTTCAAGGAATAGGCACATGTTGCTGGTTTTCATTATAAGTGGAACTTGGTGGACTGACATTGCCCCTGCTGTCGTGGATACTCCAACAGCAAGATATCTGCAATTCCTGACTCTCTTCCCGAGTTGAGGTTGTTCCTACCCATCTTGTTGTATTTTCCATAATATACAGTAAATTAAAAATCCAACAAAGAGTGAGAGACCCTCATCGTGAACCAGCAAATGTCCAGATGCAGGAATTAAAGCACAGAAATCTAAGCAACAAAGTACCTGAAATATCTAATAAGCTGACAGGTTGTTTAACTCTCCAGTATCTATCAAATACGGAAATATAAAGTGGGTGGGGCAGACCATTTAAACAGGTTTTGAATTTAATGGAGCTCAAATGTTGGAGCTCCAATGTTGCTGGACCTACACATACATTTAACTTTAATACGAACCCCATTAGGCTGATTTACTAAAGGAGTTGAGAATCTTCACACAATAAATTGCATAAATGATTGCATGGCTTTACTTATCCAACTTTGTGCAGATGAAATGAGTAAACAGAAATTTGCTTGTCACATGATTAGACAATTGCAATTAATATTTACAGAATTTATTGTGTGAAGATTCTTAACTCCTCAAGGCAGAAGTAAAGTGAGGGTGGAAAATAAAAGAAAGCCCTGAGGAGCTTTTAGCCATAATGTGCTAGTATGCTTACATCTGCACCCTGGTCTTCTTCTGGGTTTCAAATCTTTGGGCCTGATGACACATGCACACATGAGTTACTTCATCTCAGCATGCCATGCCTGCGCACCGAACTGCGCGTGTACGACTGAGAGTACAGGAAAATAAATATTGCTGACAGGCAGCAAGAAGCTATTATTGCAGAAGAGACTTATACAGTCTCTTCTGGCACAAAAAGCCTGGTGGACGGCCATTTTTATTTTTCCCCTCTTTATTCCACTTTAAGTAAATCAGCCTCTATGTCTCGGCAGTACAAAGGCAAGTGGCTCTTGATGTCTTTTTAGAATTATTGTTAATCAACAATATTTGTACATAGGGCTGCTATATTTGACTTTTAAATACATGTGTTTATGCACATTTTTTTTGTATTCTACATTAGGTTTATATACAATTGTTGTTAATTTTTCTTGCAAAGTGATTGAGAACCTTTCCAAATAAATATTTTGCGTGGTGCAGGCACAGGGCCCGTTTCATCTAGGTAACTAGCACATAGGAATTCATGGGATTTATACTGTTAATGCAATTTCATACAGTAAAACGAATGTGTTTTACTGCAGGAAAATGCACTATGGTGAGCAGCTCTTCAAGCAGCACAGTGATCAGACTTTACAGTCTTTCTCTTTCAGACAGCCTGAAAACAAATCTTTTTGTGTAATTGGTATTATTACAGAAGTCATGTTGAAATTAGGATAACTGCAAGATGTCTAACATAAAATATCTAGAAGCAGAATCTATAATCATATATGTATACATCATAATAAAAAAATATGTAAATTGTAAATGTTTACCAAAAATGATCTCTGGTAAACATAACATTAAAAATGCAACATTTAAAGCCACTGAACATCACCGTCGTCCTTTAGAATCATAGGTGTAAACAAAGTCTTAGCAGAGATAACACTTTAAAAAGTAGGCAAAAATATAAAAGAGTTTTAAAGAAAGCACAAACACTAGCAGAAGTACAGAACATTCCACTCTCAAAAAATACGCTGAAATCATACCGTATGCAGTATTTAAATTGCAATGAAGAACACTTTGGCTATTACTGCTTTATTAAAGGAAATAACAGATTGGTTTCCATTGGGTCTCTTTCATGCAATTAGTGGTTACATTCTAAATCCTAGAAAGCAAAGGTTTCTAGTTAAACTTAACTAATAATTTAAACTGCCAGACCAATCCAATGGGACAAGTGCCTTCATAGGATAAACATTATTAGCATCTACTGTTAATAACTCCATTAAAGCCCATAATGTGTTCATTATGTAAAAGAGGAAAGCAAACACATTCCTGAAGAGGTTTTGTAATGGTTTATAGCCTATTGTTATTCAGAAGCCCGTACAGTTGGCTGCATAACAGTAACATGCTGGGTGCGAAAGAGCAGCACTGTTGGTCTATCCATTTAATCTTAATAGGGGCATTATTCAGTGGGGTCCTCTGAAACAAGAGCCCCATGTGGACCTTGGTTAATTTGACTTCTGTAGCTAATTCAAAAGGAGGGACAAAAAGAAGAAAAATTGTAAAACCTCTAGAGGTTCATGTTGGCATTGTTCTACAGAAGTCTACAAAATCCGACACTTCATGGGTGGTATCAGGTACCTTAGAAAATTGGTACAGCTGAGGACACTGAATTTGTTGACGGTAAAATGTACCAGCTGTTCCCATACAACAATATTATAGACTAAAGCAAAGTTTAGGAGAACATGGTCTATCAACCCTCTGGAACTAAGGCAGCAGATGGAAACCTTCATTAGAACCTAAAATGGAATTTAAATTTTACCCTCACTGAAAGGTAAATTTAAATTCTACCTACATTAACATTTAAAATGTATGATATTAACCAAAGTAGCTATAAAATGAAAGAAGTAGAAATAGGAAGATCCTTGTACTGCAGGCCATCCACAACAGCTTCCTTTCCAGCAAGGTAAACAGCACAGTAATGACACCACCAGATCTCTTTCCAAATATCAAAAGACAAGCAAAGGCAGCAGACCCAGGGATCTTGCACTGCAGATATACAAATTTGAGTCTCAAGGCACAGGAAGTGCCTGGGATTTTGCACTGCAGATACATAATTTGAGTCTCAAGGCACTGGACGTGCCTGGGATCTTGCACTGCAGATATACAATTTAATTCTCAAGGCACAGGAAGTGCCTGGGATTTTGCACCGCAGATAAATAATTTGAGTCTCAATGCACAGGAAGTGCCTGGGATCTTGCACTGCAGGTATACAAATTTGAGTCTCAAGGCACGGGAAGAGCACTGCTATTTTTCAGGAAGAATTACATTTTTCAAAATAATGCTTAGGGACAATTCACACTAATAAATGTCCCTTATAAGACAGCAAATCCTCACTTTTTGAATGTAGGCCGACTTTAAACCTTATAAAGACTTCAGTAGAGAGAACTCCAAAGCCACAATGAGGTCAAATGATAAGTACCTACATTTTTATTGAATCTTTATAAACTCCTCTGAAAAATTGGCCTGTCTATAGTCAATGTTATTGCCTTGCAAGAGACAGTAACGACCGAGGAAGGTGTAAATACCAAGGAACTCTTGCAACTGGAAACTTTTAAAAATATAAGAGGCCAAGAGACGATTGATCCAACCACTGAAATATAATGTTTTGGTGCAGCTGACTTATACCAATCTGTAAGTACACGCCAGATGGATTTCAACAAATTAAAATCTAAAAACCCCCAAAATTATTAATTTAGGATTACCATAAAAAGGTCACGGGCACCAATGTCTACTGCAAGTAGGAACGCCTTTTCAAATCTCTGGTGCCTGCAAATAAAGAAACATTGTGGTTAATATTGCAGAATTACAGTATATACAAAGAAAATATGGCCAGACATTCCTAAAAATGCAAAGCTTTAGTGAGAATGTTTTCCTCAAACTGTATAGAACGTTACTTTTTCTAAAATTATTTTAGAACAATTTATTTGCAATGTTTACAGGTATTTTGTAACCAATTTAACACTACAAGGGGTGTGCTTTCAGCCTATAACTTTGCTCTATGTTTACAACATTTGCATACATTTCTGCATCACGAACACAAGTTATATTGTACAGCTTTTAAAGCAAACCTGTCATAAGGGAAATATAGACACTATCATTACTAACCTTCTGAAAATGCCTAATGCCTTGCTGTCATGTTAATCTTCTTAATTTAGTATTCACTTTAATTATCAGTCAGTTGAAAATTAAATTCTTGTTAACTTATTTCATCCGCACATAACTGGGTATTTAAAGTGAACAGGAATTTGCTTTTCTTATCATTGGATAATTCAAGTAAATATTCACACAATGTATTGAGGGACAAGTATCAGCTCCTTTAGTAAATAAGCCTCTGAGTCACTGGGGGTTGATTTACTAAAGGCAAAGTAATTTTCAAAGGAAATTTTTACTTTGCAAGGGAATTTTCCCTTATCTTAGTGAAGGTGATGACAATTCACTTTACAAATAAGGATACCCAATCATGTAGAAGGAAAATATTTAAAAAAATTCTAACACATGAATTTCACGGTGGAAGTCAGCAGATCTTAACCTCATTCACTAAGCTAAAGGAAAATTCCCTGAACAGCCTATTTGCCTTTAGTAAATCAACCCTCTGGCTAAAAACAAATATACAACCCCAATTTCCAAAAAGTTGGGACACTGTGTAAAGTCTATATAAAAACAGAATGCAATGATTTGCAAATCTCATAAACTCATATTTTATTCACAACAGAAATCATATCAAATGTTTAAACTTAGAAAATGTACAATGTCAAGAAAAAATAAGGTAGCTTTGAAAATGATGGCAGCAACAAGTCTCAAAAAATTTGGAACAGGGCAACAAAAAGCTGACAAAGTAAGTGGTACTAACAAGGAAGAGCTGGAAGAACATTTTGCAACTAATAAAGTGAATTGGCAACAGTTCAGTAGCATGATTGAGTATAAAAAGAGCATCTTAGAGAGCCAGAGTGTCTCAGAAGTAAAGATAGGCAGAGATTCACCAATCTGTGACTAAAACTTGTTGAACAATTTCAGAATAATGTTCCTCAATGTACAATTGCAAAGACTAAATATATCATCATCTACTGTACATAATATCATGAAAAGATTCAGAGAATCTATGTGTAAGGGACAAGGCTGAAACGCAATATTGGATGCCTGTGATCTTTGGGCCCTCGGACAGTACTGCATTAAAAACATTGATTAGAAACATGATTCTGTGATGGACATTACTGCATGGGCTCAGGAATACTCCCAAAAATCACTGCCTGTTAACACATTTCGTCGTGCCATCCAAAAATGCAAGTCAAAGCTCTATTATTCAAAGAAGAAGCCATATCTGAACATTTTGAAGAAACACCACGTCTTCTCTGGGCCAAAGCTCATTTAAAATGGTCTGTCGCAAAGTGAAATACTGTTTTGTGGTCAGACGAATCAAAATCTAACAATCTTTTTGGTAACTATGGGTGCTGCATCATCCAGGCTAAACAGGAGAGGGACCTTCCGGCTTGTTATCAGCGCTTAGTTCAAAAACCTGCATCTCTGATGGTATGGAGGTGCATTACTGCATATGGAATGGGCAGCTTGCACATCTAGAAATGCCCCATCAATGATAAAATATATATCCAGGTTTTAGAGAACCATATGCTCCCACCCATGCGGCAGGACAATGCTAAACCTCATCAGATGCATGGCTCCATAGTAGAAGAGTCCGGGTGCTTAACTGGCCTTTCACCAATTGAAAATATTTGGCGCATCTTGAAGCAAAAAATACGACAAAGAAGACCCAGGACTGTTGAGCAGTTAGAATCCAATATCAATTTTGTCCCAGTGAAAATCATAATTTTAAGACAACATTTGACATTGAAAATTATCAGATTGATATGGCTAAGTTTATAATTTGTGTTATGGAATCTGAGTTTTGGCCAATTAAAACAATCCAGGATTCAGTCATGACAGTGAGATTCCTAAGCAGCTGCAGCCAGGTTGCACTTTGTAACTGAAAACAGTTTTTAATTTCTATGATAGAGTTGCTAGTAAGGAGGGTAAGGTAGGGGAGTGGCTTTGCCACCAATGTGCTTTAAAGCAGACCTTTACCCATATCTTCAAAATAACACACCTTTAGAGATGTTTAGTAATGATAATCTACAAACACATCCTTCTAGATAATTGCCGACTTTGTATTCTTTGCATACCTTATTTTTCTTTTCTTCCCCAGTCTCCTGACAGTGGCCATGTTTACTAAGGGCAGATTCATAACTCTCCTTTCACTTTCTGGATTTCTGGTACATGTGACTAGACATGTGACTAGGACATGTGACCATGCACATCATCTCAGGGGAGGAAAATGCCTTTCCCTGAGATCTTGTGAGATTACAGATAAGATTTCCCAGCAATGCTCTTCTGATGACAATGATATCCCAGTGCGCATTGCTTTGGCAAACTGAAGTAATTTGCCCTTTCAAAGCAGGAAGTGAATGCTCTGTCTATGTTATTATTATTCATCATACATAGAGGGATGCATTAGTAGAATTTTATTTTTGAGTGGAAAGCTCCACTTTACATGTATTTCCACTTTTGCAGTCAAATTTATGAAAACCCCCACAATATGTTTGTTATGTGTTCCCATTCACAGAACATATCTAAAAATATTATTTTTGGAGCATACCTTTGAAGAGACTGCAAGCTACTCTGAGCAAATAAAGTGAGTCCATCCCAATACAAATCTGGGGATACCTTGATTTTCCCGTTATTAACATACTGTACAATGCAGAAACGAAGCTTTTAGATCTTTAACCCTTTTTTAGGACAGGAAGTGTTCAAATCTAGTTTACAACTGTTAATTTGATCAGGCAGCACAGTAGAAGCAAGGTTAACTATTGCAAACATTAACTCCACAGCCCCTGTATATTTTATGGGGGTCAAATTTAGTGACGACAGAAGCACCTCATTTAAATTTCCTATTTAGACCACACATTTTACCTGAACAAGCAAAGGTACTCCTGTGTCTGTGCATATGCATTTATATACCACTGCTCAAGAAAAAAACAGTGCTCTATATTATTTTATATCTGACAAATCCTCTTTAAGCTGCCTATGAGTGTACTGAACTTCCCTACACTTTCTCGTGTCAGTTCCAAGAGCCCTGACCACATATTTGATGATCCAAAGATGAATGCTGAGAACCAAATACACGCATAGATGCAGCCATTATACAAGCAAATCTTCCTTCTCAACCCTTAGGTTTTAAAGTGACTTATATTTAGAGATAGTATAAAACAGATAGTATAAAACAGCTTCACTTGGCTAACAAAATATATATTATTTTACAATAATTAACTGCCTTATTAAAAAAATCTTTAAATATTAAACAGCAGAATGGCTACTCCGCAAAGACAACAAAGTAGATGCTAACCCAATTCTGCACTTTTCCCTGGGGCTTCTGCTTACATGTCTTTTAGGTAGTAACACCTACGTACACGTCTTCAGCACAGTCTTCATTCTTTGTTGAGAGTATCTTGCTTTTGTGAAAACTAAATCTGTGGAAGAGGAATCTCAAAAGCATGAAATCTCTTAAAGAAGATAAGGGAAATCCCTGTTAAAACCAAGATCAGCTGCTCACTTGGTACAAACATGTCAAGAAAGGAAAGAAAAAAGAAATGGCAGCACAGGCATTAAGTTTAATGATGCATTGCCCGGATCATGGACTTGTTTACCAGTGGCTTTCTCTTCCTCTTTAGCTGAATGACTTTTATACAGTAGGGGATTCAAGATATAGATAGAATAGCAAAAAATGCACACGGCTACATAAATAAGACTTGAGACCTTATTTTGCGTTTACCGCAACTGATTCTTTACTCACTAACCATAAAAGCACATGGCGGTCTTCACGTACGGTCTCCTTAAAATTGGAACTGTTCAAGGGAATCACAGAGGTTCACAGAATACAAATGAAAACATATAGTAAACCTGTACTAAAAGTGTATCTAAACCCAAGAAGAAAAATTTAATATATTGCAGCTTAACAGTAGTTACATATGGTGGCTGCATTAGGTTTCTCTTTCCTGTTCGAGGGTGACAACACTTACTCGCTGCACTCTATTTATGGATGAGCAACCAGAAGATAGGAAGCATGTTAGGACTACATATAAATTGACCCTCTTCTCATTGCTGTAACACAGGAAGAAGTGTTCTCTAATTTACAGAGGTGAACTGGCCACTGCATAGAGTACTAGGAAATTAGAAGCTCACTGGATTTCTGGCAGGACTAACAGGTATTTCTTTGCACGTCTTAAACAGTTTGGATGGTATATTCAGCAGACCAAAAAGGGAACAAATAAGAGCATTTCATTGCCAGAGTTTACATACACTTTTTTTTAAATGAGGGCTAACTTACACTTACCACACGCTAAAATGCTGAGTTTTAACGCTCCGCCCAGTGTGGTGTGTAAGGTCTGGTGGGTTGGAGAGCGGTGGGGTGTAATGTTTCATCTAGGGATGCACCAATACATCGGCCGCCAAAACATATCGGCCCAAAATGGCACTTTTGGCTAAATGCCGAAAGTGCCATTGTTCTGCCTATATAGCGGCGCATCCCTGCTTTCTTTCCTCCCCGCTGGGCGCTGCTCTGTGTCCCAGCGGGGAGGAGAGAAACTGTCACAGGCGGCCGAGCGCTGCGGGAGGAGAGCGCTGTGAGTGGCCGGCATCTCTCCTCTCACACCGCTCAGCCTCCTGTCACAGATCGGTAGAGTGGTGTGTGGGCGGAGACGGCCAGCGCTGTCACAGAA